AAAAGTGGGAAAAAGACCTAAATAGACTTTTCTCCATTACAGATGGCTAACAAACACATGAAAAGCTGCTCAACATCACTCATCATCAGAGAAATGCAAATCAAAACCACAATGTGGTACCATTTCATGCCAGTCAGAATGGCTGCTATCCAAAAGTCTACAAACAATAAATGCTGGAGAGGGTGTGGAGTAAAGGGAACCCTCTTACACTATTGGTGGGAATGCAAACTAGTTCAGCCACCATGGAGAACAGTGTGGAGATTTCTTAAAAAACTGGAAATAGAACAGCCATACGACCCAGCAATCCCACTGCTGGCCATACACACCAAGGAAACCAGAATTGAAAGAAACACGTGTACCCCAGTGTTCATCACAACACTGTTTACAATAGCCAGGACATGGAAGCAACCTAGATATCCATTGGTATACCAATGAATAAGAAAGCTATGGTACATATACATAATGGAATATTACTGCTATAAAAAAGAATGAATTTGAATCAGTTCTAATGAGGTGGATGAAACTGGAGCCTATTATGCAGAGTGAAGAAAGTCAGAAAGAAAAACACCAATACAGTATACTAACACATATATATGGAATTTAGAAAAGTGGTAATGATGACCCTATTGAGAGACAGTAAAAGAAACACAGATGTAAAGGACAGACTGTTGGACTCTGTGGGAGAAGGCGAGGGTGGGATGATTTGAGAGAATAGCATTGAAACATGTATATGTGAAACAGATCGCCAGTCCAGTTTCTACACACGAGGCAGGGTGCTCAGGGCTGGTGCACTGGGATGACCTTGAGGGATGGGATGGGGTGGGAGGTGGAGAGAGGGTCAGGATGGGGAACATGTGTACACCCATGGCTGATTCATGTGAATGTATGGCAAAAACCACCATAATGTTGTAAAGTAATTAGCCTCCAATTAAAATAAAAAATAAAAGTGGGAAAAAATTGTATATATTTAGTGTATAATGTGATGATTTGACCTATGCATACTTTGTGCAATGATTACCACTATCAATTTACTTATAAATCACCTCAATAATAATCATTTAAGAGTGTGTGTGTGTGCTTATGTGTATAGTCAGAATGCTTAAGGTCTTCCTTATCAGCAAGTTTCAAGTGCACAGCACTGTATGTTAGATTCCCAGGGCTTCTTTGTCTTATAACTGAAGACTTATTCCCTTCGCCTTATTCCAATTTTGCCGCATCCCTCAGTCCCTGTTAACCACAGTTCTACTCTGTTTCTGTGAGTTCCGTAGGTTCAGCAACACATTCCAAAAAATCAATTGCTCAGAGAATAAATTACAAGTAAAATTAGAAAATGCTTTGGCAGGAATGAAAATGAAAATACAGCATACAAAATCTTGTGCGATACGCATAATGTTGTGCATAGAGAGATAATTATGGCTGGAAATATTTATATTAAAAGTGATGAAAAATCTCAAATCAATGACCTTATAGAACTTTAAGGCAAAGAACAGCAAAGAGAAAAGTCAAAATAATATACACTAAAATAAATAAATGAATGAATAATGAATTTATTTCATTATTTGAATAATAATGAATAATTTTTATTTATAAATGAATTTAAATGAATTTAAAATGAATGAATTTAAAAATAGAAAAATAAAATAAGGAACAAAAATAACATGTTGGTTCTTTGAAAGAATCAACAAAATTGACAACCCATGGGGATACTGATCAAGACAAAAAAATAGAAGGATCAAGTTTCTGAAATCAGCCAAGAGGAGGAGACAACAGTGCTGATCCTAAAGAAATAAAAGGACTTAAAAGAATACTCTGAGCACTGACCATGAACACTAACAAATTAGAAAACATAGATGAAATGGATATATTCCAAGTAAGCTGCAAAGTATTTCAATTGCTCAGAGAATAAATTACAAGTAAAATTAGAAAATGCTTTGGCAGGAATGAAAATGAAAATACAGCATACAAAATCTTGTGCGATACGCATAATGTTGTGCATAAAGAGATAATTATGGCTGGAAATATTTATATTAAAAGTGATGAGAAATCTCAAATCAATGACCTTATAGAACTTTAAGGCAAAGAACAGCAAAGAGAAAAGTCAAAATAATATACACTAAAATAAATAAATAAATGAATAATGAATTTATGAATAATTTTTATTTATAAATGAATTTAAATGAATTTAAAATGAATGAATTTAAACATAAATAAATGAATTTAAAAATAGAAAAATAAAATAAAGGAATAAAAATAACATGTTGGTTCTTTGAAAGAATCAACAAAATTGACAACCCATGGGGATACTGATCAAGACAAAAAAAATAGAAGGATCAAGTTTCTGAAATCAGCCAAGAGGAGGAGACAACAGTGCTGATCCTAAAGAAATAAAAGGACTTAAAAGAATACTCTGAGCACTGACCATGAACACTAACAAATTAGAAAACATAGATGAAATGGATATATTCCAAGTAAGCTGCAAAGTATGGAAAATGCATTCATGAAAGTGTAGAAAATCTGAATATCTGTAGCAAATAAAGAGATAACATTAATAATGCAAAAAAATGTCCACAGAGGAAGACCTTAGCCCAGATGGTTGCACTGTCAAAGTCTACCTAATATTTATATTACAAATAGCATAACTCTTTCATGAACTTTTGCAAAAAATAGAAGGACTTAATACCATAGAACTGCACCTTTAAAAAGGGTTTAAGATGAAATATTTAATATTATGTGAATTTACCATAATTAAAAATAATTTAAAAAATGTAGAGAACAAGGGGCCATTTACCAGCCCATTATATGAGGCTTATTACCAGAAATGACATCAAAAGGGAAGAAATAAATATTCTTTAAGGATACAGGTTAAAAAATCCTCCATAAAATACTAGCAAACTAAATCCATTACCATGTATGAAAGACTATACACCATGAGCAAGAGGAGTTTATTTCTGGAATGCAAGGTTGTTTGAACATATAGTATCAATCAGTGTGATGCAGCATATTCATAAAATAAAGATAAAAAACACAACCATTTCAGTAGGCATTTGACAAAATGTAATGTCCTTTCATGATAAAAAGAGAAAAAAAAAAAACAAGTCGAAAGAAAAAGAAAATTTCTTAACTTCATAAAGATCATCTATGAAAGACCCACAGGCAACATCACACTTAATGGTGAAAGGCTAGATGCATTCTCACCAATGTCAGGAATAGTATAAGGCTGTGTATTCTTGCCATGTCTGCTAAACTATTAAACATTG